CAGATCACCTAATCGATCCAGATCACCGAATGGATCCAGATCACAACTTCGAATCAGATCACCTGACCGATTCAGATCACCGAATGGATCGAGATCACAACCTTGAATCAGATCACCGGGCCGATCTAGGTCACCTAACCGATCCAGATCACAACATCGAAGTAGATCGCCAGACCCATCCAGATCACCGAACCGATCCAGATCACAACTGCAAACCAGATCACCGGAAGTACCTTCGCTTTGTGTTCAACGGGAATCACTACCAATGGAAAGTCCTACCATTTGGAAATTCCACGGCCCCGAGGCTTTTTACCCGAATTACCAAGCCTCCACTAAGGTTCCTCCACTTTCAAGGGATCACCTTCGAAAGCTACATAGACGATTGCATCCAGGCTCAACAGGATCCGATCGTATTGCTTCGCCAGCTACAGTTCACCCCCACGCTGCTCAAACAGTTACGGTGGCTGTTGAACATCGCGAAATCGGAACTGATACTGACTCAGAAAATCCAATTCATCAGAGCACTGTTCGACACTCGTCAGGGGATGATGTTCGTACCTCACGACAAGTGGATAAAGATTCAGCAATGCATTCCTCCAGCGCTGTCTCAGGCGAGAACCTTACGAAAGTGGCAGGAGCTACTGGGCCTTCTGACGTCAGCTCAAGCCTTAACGTACAGAGGCCAGCTCCAACTTCGACCGATACAGCGATTTCTACGCCCGTACCTTCAGGCCGACAACCCTGCCGATACCTTGTCCTGATCCAACTGACCGTCCCCGACAGAGTGGAAGTTACTGCCCCAGATCTTTCAGTCGATGATCTACCCGTCATCACGACCTCAAATAGGTCTGTTCGCCACAAGGTTCAACAACCAACTTCCAAAGTTCGTATCACCAATCCCAGACTCCTTGGCATGGGACCTCGACGCGTTGGCAATATCATGGGAGGGTCTCAATGCCTATGCGTTCCCCCCTCCAGCTCTGCTACCAAAAGTAATACAGAACCTATTGGCCACCAGCAACATACTACTGCTTTTGGTCGCACCCTTCTGGCCAGCGAGAGGTTCGTCAACCAAAGAAGCCTGTCAGAGCCAAACCCAGTACCGCTTCACAACCGGGATGACCTACTTCTTCACCCTCATTCGGAACTGCGCCACAGGTCACCTCAGACCCTCAATCTACCCGTTTGGCGCATCTTCAGAGGTCTCTCATAGCTAAGGGCTACTCTCGCCGAGTAGCCATAGCTATCACTTCAGCGCATCGTACTTCGACCCGTTCCTTGTACGACAACAAGTGGAAGAAGTTTGAAGACTATCGCAGGCTTAGGGGAATTGCATCTCCCACTTCCACCTTGGCTCAGGTCGTTGCTGAGTTTCTCCAGCATCTCCACACTACCAAGAAACTGAAGGGTACTATGTTAGCTACCTACTTAGCCGCCATTAACTCGGTTTTGGCTACCACCACGGGCACTGAGATTTCCACTGTTCCCGAGTTGCAGAGTCTACTATGCTCCTATAGATTCTCTGACCAGTCCAGGAAGTTCAGACCTCCGGCCTGGGATCTGTCCGTCGTCCTTCGTCATATGATTTCTACAGATTATGAACCTTTAGATGACAAGGACCTTGAACAAGTGACATTCAAGACATTCTTCCTGGTAGCTTTGGCTACCACTGCTCGTATATCTGAACTGCATGCGCTTGATGTCAATCGGGTGCGGTTCGAGTGGAAGAAGCATGGCAAGGCTTTCCTGGGTCTCCGCTGGGACTTCATTGCGAAAAGCCAACTGCCAGGGCAACCGGACCGGATGTTTACCATTCCCCCGTTGTCCACCATTCTTGGGCCTGATGATAATGAAGATTTGACACTCTGCCCTGTTAGGGCATTACATGTTTACTTTAATGCCTCCAAGGATCGTCGACGGCTACAGAAGCGCCTCTTCATACCATTGTCGACCGCTTCAAGATCTGAGGTTTTCCAGACCACATTGGCCTTCTGGATGCGTGCCACGATCCTGCGAGCCTACACCTTTGCAGGGTTGCCTCCTCTAGCCGCTTCCAATCCTCATGAGACTCGTGCACTAGCCTCGACCATGGTCCTCCATAGCAACTGCTCCTTGACAGCTATCATGAAAGGTCCTTCTTGAAGCAGGGGCTGGCCCGATTCTAGTCGCAAGACTTTAATTACGGGGGTACCTCGTAAATCGTGGCGAGGCCTTGCTTACTTGCCGATTTGCGTCCCTTGTCTTGTACAAGGTTGCGGCCGAACACCACATCGCTCGGGATCACCCATCTCCCTGGGAGTCGTTGTTCTTGGTAAGCCAAGGGGTTCCGGAGAACCCACTACAAGAATAGGAGTTGCGTGCATGCGTAACAGGCCTCCCTACTTTTATTTTTAATCATTTGTAGATTTGAGTATACATAAGATAATCACAGTGTTATAAGAGCGATCATTGCTGGTTGTTGTAGATGCTTAATGATCAATTTATAATTGATTGGAAGTCCTTCTCAGACAATACAACATCACTTAGGTCGATCTTAAACACAGCTGTTTAAAGTGTTGTCAACTGTTGTTTTCCTTTTGTGCATTACACTTGTTATGTATCACGTTCCCTTACTTATAAGGCATAGTTCAATATGCATGATCTCATCGTGCTAATGGCTTCTTAAGCTAACGATTGCACGCATATATAGGCCCTGTATATCGACACTGAATAACGTCCCAAATCGCCACAGATTCGGTAAACGTATGGAGGCACAAACTTCTGGTAGTTGGATATTGTATGAAGCGCACGTAAAATATGCCCTGCCCTTGGTGTAAGTCTTGATACACTTCTCCCGCAGTTCTGAATGATTGCATAGTAACTCATACTGCCATCAATTCTTTGACATTGGGTTCATTGGAACTCGAATGTCGGTTCTCAAATCTTATTGCCGTGACGTCACAATCTGAGTTGTACACACTTAGTACACCCGCCACCCCTTGTGTGTGAAGCCTCTGACAGGTCCTTCTGTGCAAAGACATAAGCTATGGGGACTGTGTAACACAAATGGACTTAGCCTCAAAATGACCAATCTATTACGTAACATGTATGAGAATATTAAAGCTTGTGTCAGAAATAACACTGCACTCTCTGAAACTTTTGATGTACTTATTGGAGTAAGGCAAGGTTGTGTACTTTTTTGTTTTCCTTCTTCATAAATGACCTAGCAGTACAGATTGAAAATAATTGCTCACATGGTATACAGTTGCATCCCGATATGTTTCATCTTTTCCTTTTATTATTTGCAGATGATATTGTTCTCATCTCGAGTACTGTCATTGGCCTACAGAAGCAAATTAACGAACTAGGAAACTACTGTAAAAAATCATGCCTAAATGTAAATATGGATAAAACGAAAGTAGTTGTTTTTAAAAAAGGAGGGAAATTATCAAAACAGGAAAAATGGTTTTATAAACGTAGTACTTTAGAGACTACCACTTCATATAAATACCTTGGTGTATGCTTCACTAATCATCTTTCATGGCTGGTACATGCAAAATATGCATCTATTCATTCACGAAGGGTATTGATATGTATATTGAAAATATAAAAATACTTGGGGATTTAAATTTAACATCCTTTTTTAGAATATTTGATGTTAAAATCAAACCAATTCTACTGTATGGTGCGGAAATATGGGGATTTAAATACTTTGATTCCATAGAAAAGGTACATTTATTTGCTTGCAAGAAATTTCTCGGGGTAAAGATGAGCACATCAAATGTTACGGTACATGGGGAATGTGGCAGATACCCGCTAATCATATCTTCACAAATCAGGGCTATTAAATATTGGATAAGGTTATTAAGTATGCCATCCTACCGTTTACCAAGAAAATGCTATAATATGATGTTACTAAATGACAAAGAAGGTAAAAAAGAATTGGACAACACATGTTAAACACCTACTATTTTCTACAGGATTTAATCATTTATGGTATGAACAAAACGTTGAATGTTCGTCATGGTTTCTAAATGCATTCACTCAAAGATTAAAAGATATTTACCAGCAGAAATGGTTGGAAACAATTTTATTAGCTACAAAATGTAATTATTATTCAATCTTTAAAACACACATTTATACTGAACGTTATTTATCATGTGTTAATGTTAAGAAATATAGAATAGCTTAAGCTCGTTTCGTTGTTCATCTCATGATTTATTAATTGAAAGAGGTAGGTTTATGAATATCAAAATAGAGGATAGATTATGTAGATGTTGTAATAATAATCTTATAGAAGACGAATATTCATTACGTAAAAAATATATTAAAGAACTCTATTTTGTCCATCCATCAATTGAAAAATTTTCGTCTCTATTGAATTCTTCAAATGAAAGTGTAATTAAAAATGTTGCTGTTTTCATTTATCAAGCCATGTCGATAAGAAATTTGTATATATGAAATGTACTACAGGCCTGTGTCCTCCTGAATACTGAAATAAAGATTGATTGACAGGTCCTTCAATACAGAACAGATAAACCATCCCCGCTATCATCACGACATATTCGGGATTATGTTGCTTAGTAAAGTCTAAGCCATTGCCATATACCATTATTCCATCGTGAAGATTTACATGTACTGCCGTTCGAGGTTTTACTAGTCCTGCCGCTTAATGTTTCACAAGTACTGCCGTTTGATGCTATACTAGCTATGGCTGGGGCTTCCCCTCTTTCAAACATTTGCCAATGTGCTGTCTGGTATTTAAAGGGAACTACGACACCGTCAGTTGAGAACAAATGACAAAAATATTCCTTAAAACAAAATAGAACATTTCTTGTCCTGAACCACTCACCTCAAAATACTTCATTCGAAAGTAATAACTGAAGAGGGATTCGAGATTCCAAAACTAAACATGAATAGGACTCTCGACACCGTTTCTTCTCGACAACCACGATATATGATTGCTGAACCCTAATTGAGAACACTTCAAATAAGTATGTTATGTAGAAAACACACACATCTCTGTTTTCAGTTGTTTTATTTGTCAAAATTATATACAAATTGATATGTCAGCATGTACAAAATAAAAGACACGAAGTCTCTAGTCTCAAAACTATAACCTCACTCACACGGATAGAATGTACTCTATGTCAAGCTAGTCACTTGGAAACTCATCTACACTGGATGCATTGAGACAGCTAAACTCCAGCACGGGTTGTATTGATACAACTAACTTCCAGCACGAGTTGTATTGATACAAATAACCTCCAGCACGGGTTGTATTGGTGCAAGTAACTTCCAGCACGGGTTTTATTGATACAACAAACCTCAGCCACGGGGTGTATTGATACAACTATCTTCTAGCACAGAGTGGAATTGATACAACTAACCTCCGGCACGGGTTGTATTGATACAGCTAACCTTCAGCACGGGTTGCATTGTTACAACTAACCTCTAGTACGGGATTGAATTGTTCCACCTTAGCTCGGCACGGGTTGTATTAATACATGTAACGTCCAGTACGTGTTGTATTGATACAACTAACCTCCAGCACGGATTGTATTAATACATCTAACTTCTAGCACGGGTTGTATTGATACAATAACCTCCAGCACGGGCTGTATTGATACAACTAACCTCCAGCACGGGATGTATTGATACAACTATCCTATATCGGTTTGTATTGATACAACTAACCTTCAGCACGGATTGTATTGACACAACTAACCTCCAGCACGTGTTGTATTGATACAACTAACCTTCAGCACGGGTTGTATTGATACAAGTAACTTCCAGCACGGGTTGCATTGATACTGCTAACCTCCAGCACAGGTTGTATTGATACAACTAGTATGTGGTGTGTGGAGGACGCCACTTGATGTATGATTGCCTCTCTGCATCACGTATTAATACATCTAACCTCCAGCACGGGTTGTATTAATACATCTAACCTCCAGCACGGGTTGTATTGATACATCTAACCTCCAGCACGGGCTGTATTGATACAACTAACCTCCAGCACGGGATGTATTGATACAACTATCCTATATCGGTTTGTATTGACACAACTAACCTACAGCACGGGTTGTATTGATACAACTAACCTTCAGCACGGGTTGTATTGATACAAGTAACTTCCAGCACGGGTTGCATTGATACTGCTAACCTCCAGCACAGGTTGTATTGATACAACTAACCTCCAGCACAGGTTGTATTGATACATCTAACCTCCAGCACGGGCTGTATTGATACAACTAACCTCCAGCACGGGATGTATTGATACAACTATCCTATATCGGTTTGTATTGACACAACTAACCTACAGCACGGGTTGTATTGGTACAACTAACCTTCAGCACGGGTTGTATTGATACAAGTAACTTCCAGCACGGGTTGCATTGATACTGCTAACCTCCAGCACGGGTTGTATTGATACAACTAACCTCCAGCACGGGTTGTATTGATACAACCAGTATGTGGTGTGTGGAGGACGCCACTTGATGTATGATTGCCTCTGCATCACGTATTAATACATATAACCTCCAGCACGGGTTGTATTAATACATCTAACTTCTAGCACGGGTTGTATTGATACATCTAACCTCCAGCACGGGATGTATTGATACAACTATCCTATATCGGTTTGTATTGATACAACTAACCTTCAGCACGGATTGTATTGATACATCTAACCTTCAGCACGGGTTGTATTGATACAAGTAACTTCCAGCACGGGTTGCATTGATACAGCTAACCTAAAGCACGGGTTGTATTGATACAACTAACCTCCAGCACAGGTTGTATTGATACAACTGGTATGTGGTGTGTGGAGGACGCCACTTGATGTTTGATTGCCTCTCTGCATCACTACCTCATGATAATCTAGTACGGCAACCAGACGTGTAATTTGGCGGACACTGAACAGTTATTACGTTAATGTCGGCTGGCTGATCCGAGAGACATTGTCGACTGATTCTCTATGGTGATTTATCAGCATAGGATGGCCCCTGCACGTATTTCTCTAGGTCTTTCAGATACTATGTTATAACATTTCTATATAACACTCTTTCCATATAATGTATAACAAGTATATACAATTTATATAACAGCACGCTATATAACGTTCTTTTCGCTCTACTTCACATCAAGTATATACAAGGTTTATAACGAATTTTATATAACACACTCTCGTTTCTAGTGTATATCACGGATAAAGTTTTAAAACAACCTGTGTATGTTTGAACGACCCGGCAATTCCTTTCAACATTAGATAGAAATATCTCCTGAAATATCACCATTTATACCACACTTTTCCTTCTTGTCTATAGTGACATATTTATACCACACTCTTCCCTCTCATTTATATCAATTATTAACAAAGTTTTCACAATATACTCCATGGTGTTTTGTATATATATACTGTTTAGCAACAACATGGTCAATAATGAAGTGTTTAGTCTGGTGTATATAACGTAAATGCTGCAACATATCACATTCTTCTTATTGTGTATATCAAGGATAAACGATGTTCATTGCAACCAATTTCTGATCAATATTGAGTAGAAAAGTAATGTTTCTAATGATTCCTGTTAACAGCGATTTGAAGCAGCAACATATTACGTCAACAAGGAATGAACATGGACACAATGTGGTATGCATGAATCACCTGGACATAATGCGATATGCATGAATCACCTGGACATAATGCGATATGCATGAAACAACTAGGTATAATGTGGTAGGATTGAAACAACTGGATTCAACGTGGTATCCGTTGAACAACTAGATATAATGAGGTATGCATGAAACAGCAGGATAAAATGTCGTATGCATGAATCAACAGGACATAATGCGATATGCATGAAACAACTAGATATAATATGGATGACTTGAAACAACTGGATTCAACGTGGTATCCGTTGAACAACTAGATATAATGAGGTATGCATGACATAACAGAATAAATGTGGCATGCACGAAACAACAGGATAAAATGTGGTATGCATGAATCAACTGGCCATATATATAATGCATGAAACAACTAGATATAATGTGGATGACTTGAAACAACTGGATTCAACGTGGTATCCGTTGAGCAACTAGATATGAAGAGGTATGCATGAAACAACAGAATAAATGTGGTATGCATGAATCAACTAGAACAATGTGATATGCATTGAAATAGATACAATGAGGTATGCATTGAACAACTAGATACAATCTTGTATTCATGAAATAAATCGATGCAACGTAACAATTAGATGAGGTATGGCGATGGCGGACATTGCGTCAGGCAACTGGACGAGGACTATATGAATGATATGTTGGTGAACAATAAGGTATGACAAGTATAGACGTATAACGAGGACAGGCTGTGATATGCTGCTCTATGACGAGGAACACTGAGATCGTGTTGGGCAAGGGGAAATAGAGACCATGAGGGCGGGTATGAAAGAGCGAATGTGTACATGAGATATGACTTATGCATGGGAAACCTGGGTATGACTGAAATGTGAAAGAAGTCGTGAACATGAACGTGAACTCATGTGTTCAAGTGATAAGGTTTTGTCGGAGAGTTTTTTGTTTGATGCGTGGCCATCAATGTGATGTAGAGCCATTGATGTGGATCTACCACCAGAAGGTTGTGTCCACCTTGTGTCCACGTGTGACCTGCAGCTGTCCCCTCTGTGCTGTGTTGACCTCTGGCCTGAAGATAACTCCGGGAAGTGCGTTGACCTCTGGCCTGAAGATAACGCCGGGAAGTGCGTTGACCTCTGGCCTCTCTTGACCTCTGACCTAGCGGTTTCCCCCACTGTAATAGGCTGACCTCCGGCCTGAAGGTATATTCCTCTGGCGGTATGTTGACTTCTGAACTGAAGGTAATACTTCTTGACCTTTAGGTAACAGGCGAGGTGTGTTGACCCCTGACCTGAATTTATCCCCCATGAGGCGTGTTGACCTCTGACCTAAAGTTATCCACACATTATCAATGTCTTGTTAATCCAGCCTTAAATATGACTGTAACCTGGATAACTAGAATATTTGGCACTTTTCTGATGGGTTCATTGGTGAGTCTGGTCGGCACTTGAAGGCAGCAGCGAATGGACGGAAGTTCATCAGTGCCCCATGGACCCTGAAACATACGTATATAACACTGGGTAGGGTGTGATGTGGTTGTAGGGTGTGATGTGGTTGTAATACTACAGGGGTATATAACACTGGGTAGGGTGTGATGTGGTTGTAATACTACAGGGGTATATAACACTGGGTAGGGTGTGATGTGGTTGTAATACTACAGGGGTATATAACACTGGGTAGGGTGTGATGTGGTTGTAATACTACAGGGGTATATAACACTGGGTAGGGTGTGACGTAGTCATAATACTACAGGGGTATATAACACTGGGTAGAGTGTGATGTAGTTGTAGGGTGTGGCTGACTGACTGAATTTAGTTTTACGCCGCTTTTAGCAATATTCCAGCAACATCACGGCGGGGGACACCTGAAATGGGCTTCACACATTGTACCCATGTGGGGATTCGAACCCGGGTCTTCAGCGTGATAAGCGGACGCTTTAACCACTACGCTACCCCACCGCCCTGTAGGGTGTGATGTGGTTGTAGGGTGTGATGTGGTCATAATACTACAGGGGTATATAACACTGTGTAGGGTGTGATGTGGTTGTAATACTACAGGGGTATATAACACTGTGTAGGGTGTGACGAGGTTGTAGGGTGTGATGTGGTTGTAATACTACAGGGGTATATAACACTGTGTAGGGTGTGATGTGGTTGTAATACTACAGGGGTATATAACACTGGGTAGGGTGTGATGTGGTTGTAATACTACAGGGGTATATAACGCTGGGTAGGGTGTGATGTGGTTGTAATACTACAGGGGTATATAACACTGGGTAGGGTGTGATGTGGTTGTACAGGGGTAATACTACAGGTATAACACTGGGTAGGGTGTGATGTGGTTGTAATACTACAGGGGTATATAACACTGGGTAGGGTGTGATGTGGTTGTAATACTACAGGGGTATATAACACTGGGTAGGGTGTGATGTGGTTGTAATACTACAGGGGTATATAACGCTGGGTAGGGTGTGATGTGGTTGTAATACTACAGGGGTATATAACACTGGGTAGGATGTGATGTGGTTGTAATACTACAGGTTTATATAACGCTGGGTAGGGTGTGATGTGGTTGTAATACTACAGGGGTATATAACGCTGGGTAGGGTGTGACGAGGTTGTAGGGTGTGATGTGGTTGTAATACTACAGGGGTATATAACACTGGGTAGGGTGTGATGTGGTTGTAATACTACAGGGGTATATAACACTGGGTAGGGTGTGATGTGGTTGTAATACTACAGGGGTATATATCCCTGGGTAGGGTGTGATGTGGTTGTAATACTACAGGGTATATAACACTGTGTAGGGTGTGATGTGGTTGTAATACTACAGGTGTACATAACACTGGGTAGGGTGTGATGTGGTTGTAATACTACAGGGGCATATAACACTGGGTAGGGTATGATGTGGTTGTAGGGTGTGATGTGGTTGTAGGGTGTGATGTGGTTGTAATACTACAGGGGTATATATCACTGGGTAGGGTGTGATGTGGTTGTAGGGTGTGATGTTGTTGTAATACTACAAAGGTATGAAACACGGGGTAGGGTGTGATGTGGTATATTACTACAAGGAGAGACAGAAGGATGTGCTGGCGTAGATAGCTAGATGGGCCAGAGTGAATATAGTAATGTATATTAATTGTTAGCGAGATGTGCAAGAGTAGATGAGTAGATAGGGGTGTAGGTAGCGAGATGTGCAAGAGTAGATGAGTAGATAGGGGTGTAGGTAGTGAGAGAGGGGGTACAGGTAGCGAGATGTGCAAGAGTAGATGAGTAGATAGGGGTGTAGGTAGCGAGAGAGGGGGTACAGGTAGCGAGATGTGCAAGAGTAGATGAGTAGATAGGGGTGTAGGTAGCGAGAGAGGGGGTACAGGTAGCGAGAGGAGGGTTTTTTAAAGGTGTGCAAACTTTTATTCATCAATCAAAACGTTTTGTGTGATCACATGGGTTGTATTCCTTCCTCTACTTAACTTTCCTATCTCTTCTCTCTATTCTTTCCTAATAAGTATATAATTGAAAATGTATGTATGTAAATATTAGGGAGCGGGTATTTTAAGTTGGATTACTTGTCCCCAATCCCTTTCACATTTGTGAATAAATAGATGGGAAGGTGTGTGTGTTTGGTGGGGGCGTCGGTAGCGAGATGGGTAGCTATAGCTCTGATGGTGAGCTGAGGCCAAAGCGGTTATTAAGGTGTGAAGTTATGAATGACACCGGAGGAGTAGGGGTATTGGAGGAGGGGAACTCACCTGAACCTCCCAGGAGGTGTCACCTCGGAGTCGTCGTTGATGTAGTGTTCTATCAACCCTCGTCGACTGACCTTCTCACACATAGTCTGAAATAAAACGCCAGAATGTCTACAAGACATGTCACCATGCTGTACTGCAATAACATCCTAACTGTCCCAACTGACAAAATATCATGTTCAAGTTATGCATGTAAACTAACATCACTATTCTTCAAGTAGTTTCAGAACAGAACAGAAGTTAATTCAGTAGTATTTGGGCCATAAGGCCTATGATACATTGACAAATACAATATAAATTATAAATTACACGTGATCATAAACATTTGAGTTTCATATTGATCTTATTTTGAATATTTCATTGAGATAGATAGCATAAATATCTCACCTGTGCATAGCCATGTAACATACATAAATATCTCACCTGTGCATAGAGTATAAAGAAGGTTTGTTCCTCGCTGTACTTGAGACCTGGAATAATCACTTCTTTCGTCTGACTTGACTTGTCATATCGCCAGTTCTGTGAACAATCAGACAGGAATAAACATCCATCTGGCATATATGACAGGCGGAATAGTAGCACGTCCGTCATCTGAGACTGAGGGAATACTAGCACGTCCGTCATCTGAGACTGGGGGAATACTGGCACGTCCGTCATCTGAGACTGGGGGAATACTAGCACGTCCGTCATCTGAGACTGGGGGAATACTGGCACGTCCGTCATCTGAGACTGGGGGAATACTGGCACGTCCGTCATCTGAGACTGGGGAATACTAGCACGTCCGTCATCTGAGACTGAGGGAATACTAGCACGTCCGTCATCTGAGACTGGGGGAATACTGGCACGTCCGTCATCTGAGACTGGGGGAATACTAGCACGTCCGTCATCTGAGACTGAGGGAATACTAGCACGTCCGTCATCTGAGACTGGGGAATACTGGCGTCCGTCATCTGAGACTGGGGAATACTAGCACGTCCGTCATCTGAGACTGAGGGAATACTAGCACGTCCGTCATCTGAGACTGGGGAATACTAGCACGTCCGTCATCTGAGACTGGGGGAATACTAGCACGTCCGTCATCTGAGACTGGGGGAATACTGGCACGTCCGTCATCTGAGACTGGGGGAATACTGGCACGTCCGTCATCTGAGACTGGGGGAATACTGACACGTCCGTCTCTGAGACTGGGGGAATACTAGCACGTCCGTCATCTGAGACTGGGGGAATACTAGCACGTCCGTCATCTGAGACTGGGGGAATACTGGCACGTCCGTCTCTGACACTGGGGGAATACTGGCACGTCCGTCATCTGAGACTGGGGGAATACTAGCACGTCCGTCATCTGAGACTGGGGGAATACTGGCACGTCCGTCTCTGACACTGGGGGAATACTGGCACGTCCGTCATCTGAGACTGGGGGAATACTAGCACGTCCGTCATCTGAGACTGGGGGAATACTAGCACGTCCGTCATCTGAGACTGGGGGAATACTAGCACGTCCGTGATCTGTTATTGAGGGTAATGCCCAAACGATAGTTATGGTTTATCTGCCGTTAACGCCATGTGGCATGTGTGTCGGGCGATGTCCAGAAACAAACCTACCTCGTAAGCAACTTTCAGTGACAGGTGATCCTTCCAATTCTCGTTTTTGGCAACAGCTCCTCTCACCTGTAACAGTCAGGGCTGTACATCAACACAGGTAAGTCATCACAGGTGCATCATCACACTAACAGCAACACAGGCATATGATAACACTTACAGCAACACAGGTATATGATGACATTTACAGCAACACAGGTATATGATTACACTTACAGCAACACAGACATATGATGACACTTACAGCAACACAGGTATATGATGACACTTACAGCAACACAGACATATGATGACACTTACTGCAACACAGGTATATGATGACACTTACAGCAACACAGACATATGATGACACTTACTGCAACACAGGTATATGATGACACCTACAGCAACACAGGTATATGATTACACTTACAGCAACAAAGACATATGATGACACTTACAGCAACACAGGTATGTATGATGACACCTTACAGCAACATAGACATATGATGACACTTACTGCAACACAGGTATATGATGACACTTACAGCAACACAGACATAAGATGACACTTACAGCAACACAGACATATGATGACACTTACTGCAACACAGGTATATGATGACACCTACAGCAACACAGGTATATGATTACACTTACAGCAACAAAGACATATGATGACACTTACAGCAACACAGGTATATGATGACACTTACAGCAACATAGACATATGATGACACTTACAGCAACACAGGTATATGATGACACTTACAGCAACACAGACATATGATGACACTTACTGCAACACAGGTATATGATGACACTTACAGCAACACAGACATATGGTGACACTTACTGCAACACAGGTATATGATGACACTTACAGCAACATAGACATATGATGACACTTACTGCAACACAGGTATATGATGACACTTACAGCAACACAGACATATGATGACACTTACAGCAACACAGACATATGATGACACTTACTGCAACACAGGTATATGATGACACTTACAGCAACACAGACATATGATGACACTTACAGCAACACAGACATATGATGACACTTACTGCAACACAGGTATATGATGACACTTACAGCAACACAGGTATATGATTACACTTACAGCAACAAAGACATATGATGACACTTACAGCAACACAGGTATATGATGACACTTACAGCAACATAGACATATGATGACACTTACTGCAACACAGGTATATGATGACACTTACAGCAACACAGACATATGATGACACTTACTGCAACACAGGTATATGATGACACTTACAGCAACACAGACATATGGTGACACTTACTGCAACACAGGTATATGATGACACTTACAGCAACAGAGGTATATGATTACACTTACAGCAACAAAGACATATATGATGACACTTACAGCAGCACAGGTATATGATGACACTTACAGCAACACAGACATATGATGACACTTACTGCAACACAGGTATATATGATGACACTTACAGCAACACAGACATATGATGATGACACTTACAGCAACACAGGTATATGATGACATTACAGCAACATAGACATATGATGACACTTACAGCAACACAGGTATATGATGACACTTACAGCAACATAGACATATGATGACACTTACAGCAACAAAGGTATATGATGACACTTACAGCAACATAGACATATGATGACACTTACAGCAACTGACATATGATGACACTTACAGCAACACAGGTATATGATGACACTTACAGCAACAAAGACATATGATGACACTTACAGCAACACAGGTATATGATGACACTTACAGCAACACAGGTATATGATGACACTTACAGCAACACAGGTATATGATGACATTACAGCAACATAGACATATGATGACACTTACAGCAACACAGGTATATGATGACACTTACAGCAACACAGACATATGATGACACTTACTGCAACACAGGTATATGATGACACTTACAGCAACATAGACATATGATGACACTTACAGCAACACAGGTATATGATAACACTTACAGCAACACAGGTGGTATATGATGACATTTACAGCAACACAGGTATATGATTACACTTACAGCAACAAAGACATATGATGACACTTTACAGCAACACAGGTATATGATGACACTTACAGCAACACAGACATATGATGACACTTACTGCAACACAGGTATATGATGACACTTACAGCAACACAGACATATGGTGACACTTACAGCAACATAGACATATGATGACACTTCTTACAGCAACACAGGTATATGATGACACTTACAGCAACACAGACATATGATGACACTTACAGCAACATAGACATATGATGACACTTACAGCAACACAGGTATATGATAACACTTACAGCAACACAGGTATATGATGACATTTACAGCAACACAGGTATATGATTACACTTACAGCAACAAAGACATATGATGACACTTACAGCAACACAGGTATATGATGACACTTACAGCAACACAGACATATGATGACACTTACTGCAACACAGACATATGATGACATTTACAGCAACACAGACATATGGTGACACTTACTGCAACACAGGTATATGATGACAATTACAGCAACACAGGTATATGATGACACTTACAGCAACAAAGACCTTTGATGACACTTACAGCAACACAGGTATATGATGACACTTACAGCAACACAGACATATGATGACACTTACTGCAACACAGGTATATGATGACACTTACAGCAACACAGACATATGATGACACTTACAGCTACACAGGTATATGATGACACTTACTGCAACACAGGTATATGATGACACTTACAGCAACACAGGTATATGATTACACTTACAGCAACATAGGCATATGATGACACTTACAGCAACACAGGTATATGATTACACTTACAGCAACATAGGCATATGATGACACTTACAGAAACACAGGTAAATGATGACACTTACAGCAACACAGGTATATGATGACACAGCAACACAGGTATATGATGACACTTACAGCAACATAGACTTATGATGACACTTACAGCAACACAGGTAAATGATGACACTTACAGCAACACAGGTATATGATGACAGTTACAGCAACACAGACATATGATGACACTTACAGCAACACAGGTATATGATGACACTTACAGCAACACAGGTATATGATGACACTTACTGCAACACAGGTATATGATGACATTTACAGCAACATAGACATATGATGACACTTACAGCAACTGACATATGATGACACTTACAGCAACACAGGTATATGATGACACTTACAGCAACAAAGACATATGATGACACTTACAGCAACATAGACATATGATGACACTTACAGCAACACAGGTATATGATGACACTTACAGCAACATAGACATATGATGACACTTACAGCAACACAGGCACATGGTGACACTTACTGCAACACAGGTATATGATGACACTTACAGCAACACAGGTATATGATGACATTTACAGCAACATAGACATATGATGACACTTACAGCAACATAGACATATGATGACACTTACAGCAACAGACATATGATGACACTTACAGCAACACAGGCACATGGTGACACTTACCGCAACACAGGTATATGATGACACTTACAGCAACACAGGTATATGATGACATTACAGCAACACAGACATATGATGACACTTACAGCAACAGACATATGATGACACTTACAGCAACAGGTATATGATGACAGTTACAGCAACAAAGACATATGATGACACTTACAGCAACACAGGTATATGATGACACTTACTGCAACACAGGTATATGATGACATTACAGCAACAAAGACATATGATGACACTTACAGCAACACAGGTATATGATGACACTTACAGCAACACAGGTATATGATGACAGTTACAGCAACAAAGACATATGATGACACTTACAGCAACACAGGTATATGATGACACTTACTGCAACACAGGTATATGATGACACTTACTGCAACACAGGTATATGATGACATTTACAGCAACATAGACATATGATGACACTTACAGCAACATAGACATATGATGACACTTACAGCAACACAGGTATATGATGACACTTACTGCAACACAGGTATATGATGACACTTACAGCAACACAGGTATATGATGTCATTTACAGCAACATAGACATATGATGACACTTACAGCAACATAGACATATGATGACACTTACAGCAACAGACATATGATGACACTTACAGCAACACAGGTATATGATGACACTTACAGCAACACAGGTATATGATGACAGTTACAGCAACACAGACATATGATGACACTTACAGCAACACAGGTATATGATGACACTTACAGCAACACAGGTATATGATGACACTTACTGCAACACAGGTATATGATGACATTTACAGCAACATAGACATATGATGACACTTACAGCAACTGACATATGATGACACTTACAGCAACACAGGTATATGATGACACTTACAGCAACAAAGACATATGATGACACTTACAGCAACACAGGGCACATGGTGACACTTACTGCAACACAGGTATATGATGACACTTACAGCAACACAGGTATATGATGACACTTACAGCAACAAAGACATATGATGACACTTACAGCAACACAGGTATATGATGACACTTACAGCAACACAGACATATGATGACACTTACTGCAACACAGGTATATGATGACACTTACAGCAACACAGACATATGATGACACTTACAGCAACACAGGTATATGATGACACTTACAGCAACACAGACATATGATGACACTTACAGCAACACAGGTATATGATGACACTTACAGCAACACAGGTACATCACAACAGGTACAGCACATATAATTCAACAAGGCAACGTCATCACAGGTATACAACACAGCTGGGTCACTAAAGGTGCATCACAACAGATTGTCATTACAGGTGCGTCTCCTCAACTTGTATTACCACAGGTACATTACAACAGCTTCTCACACACCTGTGAGACTGGTATCAAACATATGTGTGAGATCGATTTCCAGGCTGATGACCTTAGGTCAGATTATGACCGACTCCTTTCCTAATTGGAATTCATTGATACGTTACTCGTGCTTCAGTTCATTCGTACTCGAGTCAGACACATTTATGCCCACCTGTTATTTTCGCAGTGGTGTCGTGAACAGTTATTTATGCAATAAAACAAACTTACAATAGATAACAACATGAATCTATTATTTGTTCTAATTCCCGTTATCGTTTGGTTGTTTTAGATGTGAAACACTGGTAGTTCCCCTGCCTGTGAGATGGATTTGCCCCGTGGTTTGATTGATGAACTGATAGAAGAGAATGACCTTTTTCACTGATAAACATGTCGATTCTTTAGATATAAATCCATTTGCAGCCCTGGGTTACTGTGTGATACGAACCCGTGAAGATCTGGGTTAGAATTGGTCTTCAGTAACCCATGCTTGTCGTAAGAGGCGACTAACGGGATCCGGTGGTCAGGCTCGCTGACTGGGTTGACACATGCCATCGTATTCCAATTGCGTACATCGATGTTCATGGTGCTGATCACTGGATTGTCTGGTCCAGATTCGATTATTTACAGACTGCCGCCATATAGATGGAATATGGTTGAGTGCGACGTCAAACAACCAACCAACCAACCAAGTATGTGATACGTATGTCAACAAATTCACTCGTGACAATCAGAACCAAAACACACTGCGTAGACAATGTACAACAGGAAACGTTTGCAAGGGTTCATGACTGCAAAAGGCGACACGCGTCCTTTCGAATCAATCTCACATCTGCAGGCACGGTACACACAATTCACTGCTTAAATCATTCCCCTGACACATGATAAGTAATTTTATGTCTTTGTACAACTACATTCACATTTCATCCTAGCAACAGCTAGCGTTACATCAGTAACATCCCAAGTGCCAGCTTCGTGGTAGGGAAAACAAGAAGGCTGTGGCGAAAACGTGTAGTCCCCCCTCGACAGTGAACATGGCCTCAGCAATATCACATACAAGCACTTGGGTATACACTGTATTAAGTATTCTGTACTCAGTGTAACTGTATTCAAACTCAATGAGCGACCCAAGCAAATGTCCCAAAAGATTACATTCTCAATTATTGTATACTTGATAGAGAGAAACTGATCTATGTCTCAGTTGCAACATCGTCGTTTTAGAGTGTTTAATTAAGTTTCTTTGATCTGGTCTAGTGTACATCATTGTTATCGCCTTGATGCAGTACACAAGTGGCAGACACTTGACGAGGGGGTCACCTTAGGGGATGAGCAGGGGGACAGGGAGCCTAGCGACGACATAACCAATACGATAAGAAACTCTGAAACTGAATCAATTCGACACTAAAGTGGTGAGATTTTATGGTGTGTTAGAAACAGATTACTGTACTCGTGTCTGTCAGATATCATTTATCTTACAACTTCTTCTCTCTTTACGTTCGACAGATAAGTTTTGAAAAAACTCGTTGTAAGATGAATGGAATCTGACAGACACTTGTGCAGTAATTTCGGATACCACAGGTATTGCCCTGTCCGATACACCCTCCTACCCAACTCACCTTGAATACAGTGTTGCCCTGTCGGAGAATTTCGAAATGGTTGTAGAGGTCAACAAGACATTGAAGTCTAATGGCGAGATACAACACCGCGCTGTCGTTCAGGATGTCGTCGGCGTAGTGGTCTAGCAACACTGAAGGTACAAGAAAGGTGCTGTCACTGCCGTTGCACAAATAAAAGAACATGTTTTATCCGAAATGCATTGTCAAGATCGACTTACCCTGGATGTCGAGTTGGTCGGAGATGTCGCGAGCGAGGTAGGTGCCGAGGGAAGCATAGTGGATGTAGGAGGGGTTGGGAGAAGGGAACCACACACCCCCATAAGGAAACCCGAACTCTGAAACATCACAACACATACCTGTATATTTAGAAACGCAACACATACCTGTATATTTAGAAACGCAACACATACCTGTATATTTAGAAACACAATATACAAACGTGCTTTACCAAGCCTTTAAAGTGTTTCGTTAACTCCGTGGGGAATGATGTAATGCACTACTGCTACTGCTGCTGCTACTACTACCACCACCACAACCACCACCACCACCACCACCACCACTACTACTGCTGCTGCTGCTGCTGCTGCTGCTGCTGCTGCTGCTGCTACTACTACTACTACTACAATGACTTCATGTGTTATGACGTTTCTGAAGCTATTGCAAAATAGAATACCAGCCATGTTCGTGTCAGTACGTCTGTTGACGTGGTCATTTGGCCACATACTGAGTCAGATTATCTGTCACACATTTCCTATATTCCTTATTTGAATTTAGAGAGAGAGCTGACAGTTAAAATTGGTTCTGTCGAGAAATACAAAATCTTAATGAACCCAGCGGCTGGAATGAAGTCTGTCAGATGTTTAGTGCGACTGTCTGATGACTGCAAGCGCCATCACTCGTGCAGATACGCGTTTCCTGCGATGGCTGCAAGCCTCATTCGGTGTCTTTCATGTCAGAAAGACAGACTCCATATATCTAGCAGTTCTCAGTCGCTGTCCCTCTCTCAAACTAGGCTCCATGTGTCTAACAGGTGTCCCTCTCTCAAACTAGGCTCCATGTGTCTAACAGGTGTCCCTCTCTCAAACTAGGCTCCATGTGTCTAACAGGTGTCCCTCTCTCAAACTAGGCTCCATGTGTCTAACAGGTGTCCCTCTCTCAAACTAGGCTCCATGTGTCTAACAGGTGTCCCTCTCTCAAACTAGGCTCCATGTGTCTAACAGGTGTCCCTCTCTCACGCCAGGCTCCAAGTGTGCAGGTGGTGTTGGTCGAACAGCATGTGTCCCTCTCTCAGAACTGGGCTCCCTGTCTGAAGGAGGTGTCCCTCTCTCACGCCAGGCTCCAAGTGTGCAGCAGATGTCACGACCATACGCCTGGCCCCATATGTCTAGCAGGTGTCCTACACGCCAGGCTCCATGTGTCTATCTGGTGTCCCTGCCATACACCAGGCTCCACGTGTCCAGGTGTCCTACACGCCAGGGCGCCACGTGTCCAGGTGTCCCACACGCAAGGCTCCATGTGTCTAGCAGGTGTCCCTGCCACACGCCAGGCCCCATGTGTCCTAGCAGGTTCCCCTGCCACACGACAGGCTCCACGTGTCCAGGTGTCCTACACGCCAGGCTCCACGTGTCAAGCAGGTGTCCTACACGCCAGGCTCCACGTGTCTAGCAGGTGTCCCTGCCACACGCCAGGCTTCACGTGTCCAGGTGTCCTACATGTCAGGCTCCATGTCTCCAGGTGTCCTACAAGTCAGGCGCCACGTGTCCAGGTGTCCCACACGCAAGGCTCCATGTGTCTAGCAGGTGTCCCCTGCCACACGCCAGGCTCCATGTGTCTAGCAGGTGTGCTTGCCACACGCCAGGCCCCATGTGTCTAGCAGGTTCCCCTGCCACACGCCAGGCTCCACGTGTCCAGGTGTCCTACACGCCAGGCTCCACGTGTCCAGCAGGTGTCCTACACGCCAGGCTCCACTTGTCTAGCAGGTGTCCCTGCCACACACCAGGCTCCACGTGTCCAGGTGTCCTACATGTCAGGCTCCATGTGTCCAGGTATCCTACGAGCCATGACTGTTTACTTGCAGGCAAAGCTGTTCATCAATCTCTTGCCAGCAGAAATTGTTATTGTTTCCCACTATTTCGAGGCACCAAATGAACATTTGTCATAAGTAGAGGCTACGTCATCAAGGTCTCGTGAGTCTACCAACGTGTAGGACAAACATCCCCATCATGTGACGTCATCCTACTGATCACCTAACAACGTACTATGTCAGGACAGAAACAGACACTTCAATACGATGATAAACAGACACTGTGACAACAATGGAGACATCCACACCATGGTAATGAACACTGTACAGCTAGCGCAGTACAAACTACCCATCAGCATGTACGCACGATGAACATATCTTGATCCATCTCAACACAGTTCCGTTAAAAGTCAACAAAAGAAAAACCCTCAAATTGAATTTTGTATACAAAGACATTCTAAATACGAAAATGTATTAAAAGTGCTTAAACTGTTCTAAACGCATCCATGATAAAAATCTGAATGGCTTGGTAAATTGATTATTTTTGTAAAAGTACAATTAAACTACATTTGGGAATGCTTTAACAAGATTTTAAGAGCCGAAAAAACATTCTCGGTTTAACTAATGATCCTAACACAGATCGCCAAGGAACAACGTAACGCCTGTTTTGCATATCGATGCGGTCCAGGTGCAGATCACGTGGTCGGTGATTGGAGGATGTAGTTGTGGGCGTCTGGTTCGAACCGGTTGGGATACAATGACGCAAGGAGGGCTGAAGAACTACATCTCAAACACATTCCATGATGTCAATATTTAAATACATGACAAGAACTTAATGGACGAGTTCTGGCAGCGATTTGGAACCATTACCCAGAAAACTAAAGTGCGCGTCTTTTATCCTATAACTCAGCAAGGATGACTTCTTTAGTAATCTTACGCTGATAATTGACATACAATTCCCACAGAACTGAATGCAAGGGCAAGGCAATGGAAGTAGTCGTAGTGGTGTAACCAAATTAATATGTTTGCCGTGACGACGCTGGAGCGTAATGTCCGATACGTAGTTATCGTATCGGCTCCAGGTCGTGAAGTGATCCTCGTAGTGGCGGGTCATTGATCCGGCGGCCCAACACTGCTTGCCTACACAAACCCCAGTCAGATAAATAGCTTAACAAGTCAGCGCTAATCTTCAGTTACACGCCCGACATCACTACACAAACATATCAACCTCGTACCCGCCTTTGAACACACACTCGCTAAATGTTAAGTCTAAATTTGTCCCGGGTTTCGCTCCAGCGCTAAAATACATGTTATCTTATTTAGTTATGTTTGAATTAGCGCTTTCCGCGACCGAACCAAAGTAACATTAGTGCGATAAGTTGTCAGGGAAATACCCGCAAGAAAAGAAAGAGAGGCTTTTTATCGCTTGAAGAATGACAAAGTAGCGTTTGTTGGACAGCGACAATCGATGCGTATTGCCACAAAGTTTGCACAATTTATTGGTAGATTTTCTTGAGTTCGACAACGCATGTGGGGTTCAAGAAACGTGCCTTTACCAAAGAACATTGACAGTCACCAAAAATAACCTCCAGTCACATTTCTAGATGTCAATAGAAGTTAACCTCAAGTTTTCTTGTAATATCACCATAAACTACACACAGTGCCAGCTGAACGTGACGCTCGGAGAGCAAGATGTCCATTCCATGCAGCAGGCCACTCTCACAACCATGCTTTCCCCACGAACGACATAACCAGGAACTCGTGGAATGTCCTACTAGGTCACTTACTATTGAAACCTTTGTGAGGAACATTAACCAGAATGAAATGACTGACACAATGTGCGCGTGTACAAGTTGTGTGTTGTGGTAATGGTGATGCCGAACCGTACAGCCGGCGAGGAGGACGTTCATGCTGCATCCATCATCAAGGGATGTGAGTCCCAGCAACATTGTACGACCTGTACAAACGTGTACGGTTGATAAAAACTATGCCTTCACAGATTATCCTGATAATTTGTACAAGTATTTTGTGGCATGGTTCTATACTTCAGAATGATCTGGTGCCGCGTCAGGTTTGCTCAACGGGTGGTTATACACGGTTTCTCTCTTTAATCTTAGAGTGTATGCAAATACCGCCATATCTGTTTCATCCTATCTAAATAGACTACTTGAGGGGCTAACATTCTGCTTGGGTTTCCAAATGCTCTGCATGCAGACAAACATGTTACCGTGATATGTGCAGTCTAGACAGCGGCCATGCGATACAGGTACTTATGTACCAGACAGTGTTATCATTAAGTCATATCGAGCAAAAGAACTCGAGCTATGATTAACGTCGTCATTTAACGTCGTACGTAAGTTGAACTCCTGTTTACATCAGGTTGACGTAAAGCCGTACAGGTTTCCGTAAATCTAACCATGGGTCTTTATATGAGACGGACAATATAGGGGTTGAGAAACTGATGGATGGGTCACGTGATACTTGCGGAAGTGATGGATGAGTCACGTGATACGTGTTGAACTGAAGGCTGGGTCACGTGATATACGTTGAACTAATGGATGAGTCACACGTGGAACACGTGCATGATGTTAGATGGTTAAACTTTTAGCGACATGGTGGTAAGATTTATGCTGGGTGGTGAGGTTTATGTCTGGTGGCGCTGGGGTAAGGTTTATGTGTAGTGGCGTTGGGGTAAGGTTTATGTGTAGTGGCGTTGGGGTTTTTGTTTGGTGAGGTTTATGTGGTGGAGTTGAGTGGCGTTGGGGTAAGGTTTATGTTTGGTGACGTTTGGGTAAGGTTTATGTTTGGTGCCGGTGTGGTAAGGTTTTTGTTTGGTGACGTTGTGGAAAGGTTTATGTTTGGTGACCTGGTAGTCATGTTTGTGTTTGGCGACCTGGTAGTCGTGTTTATGTTTGGTGACCTGGTAGTCATGTTTATGTTTGGTGGCCTGGTAGTCATGTTGATGTTTTGGTGACATGGTAGTGAGATTTATGTTTGGTGACATGGTAGTGATGTTTATGTTTGGTGACCTGGTAGTCATGTTTATGTTTGGCGACCTGGTAGTAATGTTTATGTTTGGTGACCTTGTTTATGTTTGGTCCTGTTTTTATGTTTGGTGACCTGGTAGTCATGTTTATGTTTGGTGACCTGGTAGTAATGTTTATGTTTGGTGACCTGGTAGTCATGTTTATGTTTGGTGACCTGGTAGTCATGTTTATGTTTGGCGACCTGGTAGTCATGTTTATGTTTGGTGACCTGGTAGTCATGTTTATGTTTGGCGACCTGGTAGTCCTGTTTATGTTTGGTGACCTG